ATGGAGCCCAGCAGGATCATGGACTCTGCCAGAGGAAGCAAGGGGCAGCACTGACTTTTGATGTCCCCTTTGCCACCCACCCACCAACCTGGCATGTCCCATGGTTGGGGTGGGCACCGGCAGAGCCGCTGCCTGTGTCTCACCGGCTGACTCCACCAGCGGCAGGTTCTTCATCTTGGTGCTGTGCAGGACCTGCTGCAGGTCCCGGTACCTGCAGTTGAGGGTGACGTAGCGGATGTCCCGCACCATGATGTCTTCCACCCGCACGTTGTATTTCCTGGCCAGGGAGGGGAATGGTGGTCTCAGAGTGATGCAACCCCCTCCCCTTGTGCCTGGTGAGGGGCTTGGGGATGGGACGTGGGACAGACACTCACTCGTGGTGGCCCCAGCCCAGCTCAGGGAGGTAGGGCAGCTTCTTGATGCGGATGATGCTGTCGTAGAGGGAGGGCTGGAGGCTCTGAGCCACGGCATTGGCCAGGATGACAGCAATCATGACAGGCAGGATGTGCGAGATCTGCCCCGTCAGCTCGAAGACGATGACGGCCGTGGACACCGTGTGGGTGACAGCACCCGACAGTGCAGCCGCCCCTGCAGCCACCCCCAGGAGACACAGGGGTGGCTGTCAGGTGTTGCCTGCCAGGCTGGGTCCCCACCCTGGTTTCCCCCCCCTCTAGGTCATCTGCCACACCTGGAGCCCTTGGGACCTCCCAGGGACATCCCCAGTGGTGGTATCACTCTCAATTCCTGAGGTCAGCACATCAGCCCTGGGGAACCCACCGGGTCCTTTGGAGCATCTCCAGGTGATGCCCACCATGGTGTCCCCGTTCCAGCCCAGTGCTTACCCACCACGGCGTAGCCCCCTGGCACAATGCGGTAGGTGTTGCTCTCTGTGTGGATGCCATCAGGGAACCAGGCTGCCATGCTCTCCCCCACCAGGCGCCCGAAGGCTGCCCCTGCTCGCAGAGAGGGGCTGGGATCAGGCACAGGGCTCTCCTGGCACTTGACCCAGCCTCATGCCCTCTCCTCTGCCCAGGGGAGGGAACACCTGAGGACTCCTGAGGTGCCCAGTATGGGCTGGCAGTGGCTCCCTCCTCCCGCCATGCCCACACAAGGTACAGGGTCTCACCAATGACAAAGACAGGCATGAAGGCTCCACAGGGCACTGGGATGGTGGTGGCCAGGGCTGACATCCAGAACTGTGGGGGGGATGCAGATAGACATTAGTTGTCCTCCCTGCCCCAGCAGTGCCTCCTGCCCTTGCTGTGACCCGCAGCTGGCTGCTGTGGAGCAGCACATGGGCACCACACCCTGCCATGGGCATGGGCTCCTGTCAGGAGCACCCTGCCAGCTCCGCCCAGGTGGCACCTTGGTGGCTCCCAGCCAAGATGTCTTTGATAGTGTGTCAACACCACCCAGCCAACACCTTGGTGGCCTCTGGGAGCAGCCACCCAGTGGCTTCCGGTGCCACTGGCAACCATCCAGCACCTTCCTGGTGGCATCCAGGAGCTCCTCCCCATAAATTCCTGGTGGTACCTTGGGCCTGACTGGAGCAGGAACCACCCACCTTCATGAGGATAAAGACAACAAGGGTGACGAAGACGTTGGAGCGGGGATGGCGCCAGGCCTCCAGGATGCCCAAGTATTCGAACTCATCACTGAGCCCCTGCTTGGCCCACGTCTGGTTGTCAAAGAGCGTCACCAGGGTGTCCTTCTGGGTGAGCTGTTAATGGGCAGGGGTCAGCTAGGGCTGCTGGTGGCCCTGAGGTGGGGACCAGTGTGTCACCCCACATTGGGTACCTGGCCAGCCATGAACTGTCCAAAGCCAGGTGGGAAGGTCAGCGTGGAGATGATCAGTGTCACCAAGGCAGGGAAGAGCAGGCGCCTGGCAGGGTGGCACAGGGCAGGGAGTGGCTTTGGTGCAGCCTCAGCTGCACCACCCCACTTCTAGGGACCCCTGGTCACCTACTTCTTCATGAGGAAGCGGTTGATGGTCTTCTGACGACGCATGAACTGCACGATTTTGCGGTTGAGGTAGACGAAGAGCGCGCCCCCGAAGCCGCTGGCGATCCTGGGCAGAGCCAAGGGGTGAGCGCCCATGTGTCCTGCTGCCACCACCAGCACCACCAGCACTGCCACTGCCACCCCCAGAGCCATGGGATGGGTGCTGGGATGGCTGCACTCACCCGATGACAGCGAAGGCAGGCAGCTCCTGCAGGTCGAAGGGGAAGTCGAGACGGAAGCGGGTTTTGAACAGTGCCGTGATTGTCTCTGGGGGATGATGTGGATCAGCAGGGCTGGGTAGGGGACCCCTGTGCCCCCACCCTGCCAGAGGTACCTTCATCCTTGTTCCAGACAGCGAGGACACGGAAGATGAAGGCACTGAAGGTGGCAGCTAAGAAGCCGCGCCAGTAGTTGCGGACAGCGAAGAAGGTGGAGGTGACCTCAATGCTGAAGAGGACGCCTGGCATTGGGGGTAAGTGCACAAGGGAGGTGGCGAAATCCAGGCAGGCCCCCAGTGCCTGGCATGCTTCCCACCCCGAGTCCATGCTTGTGCACAGCCCATGGAGGTCTGGCTGGCCCCACAGACCCACTATAGGGCAGTTCAAGAGTTTCCCTGGCAAAGCACACAGCCAGTCCCAGCTGGACATGGCACAGCATCAGTCTACATGAGCGAGAGGGTAGCACAGGGGTGTGGGCAGCAACATGAAGGGTGGCACTGGAGTGGGGTGGGGTGCATACAGATGGACAGAGAGGCAGATGGGGCAGTGCAGCAGGCAAAGGGCAAGGAAAGAGTTAGACACATCACCAACCTACGGGTAGGGCTCAGCGGGACTGGAGTGGGGAGCTCCCTGGAGTGCAGGGCAGTAGGGGAGAGGACAAGAGCAGATGTTACACCTCTGGGAGGATGGTGCCCACTCCTCCCATCCTCCTCCCCGCTGAAAAGCACTGTCCTCTCCCATGCCAGCTGTCCTGGGGGTCCTGCTTGCCTTGCCAAGTGGCCCCTGGTGCCCATGTGGGAGGTGAGGGGAGTGTGGGGGGGCCAGGGTGACCCTACCTCCAATGGGGGCGGCGAAACAGCAGCCGACACCGACGGCGCAGGCGGCTGCCAGCATTTCAATGTTCCTTGCCTCATTCTGCAGGGGAGACAGGGGTGAGTGGACACTACCTCCGTACCTCTGTCACTGCCAAACCTGCTGGGGGGCACGGGTTTAAGCCCTCCTGGGGTCAGCCTGCCTTGCTCACCTCGTAGAAGCCCCCGAAGAGGGAGAGGAAGCGGCTGAGCAGGGCTGCACACATGCTGGCGATGTGGACAAAGGGACCCTGTGAGGACAACAGAGGGAATGAGGACAGTGGCCTCACCCCCCTCCTGGCCCCCTGCCCACCCTGCCTCAGGCACTGCCCTCACCTCCTTGCCCAGGGGCATGCCGCTGCCCAGGGCACATGTCAGCCCGATCACCTTGGCCACAAAGGTCTTGAGGGTGAGGTACTCCTTCAGCACGACGCCCCGCAGGATGGTCTTCATCTCGGGGATGCCTGAGCCTGGCACCATAGAGACAGCCTTGACCCACAGCCATAAAGTGGGGGACAGTGGGGAGACTCTGCCCCACATTTATGGGGGGTAATCCTTAATGCTCTGCTACACCCCACTGCTACAGGGAGACCCCAGAGACACCTCTCTCCACAGTACAGTTGGCAGCCCCATTACAGTGTAGGGACAGCTCAAGCCATAGCCCTATGTGGACCCCAATCTCATAGCCCCCAGGATACACCCTGAAGATCAGATCTTAGCCCTAGGAAGACCCTCAAGACTGCTTGCCTCATAGCCCAGGAGGACATCCATCCCTTAACTCACAGGAGACTCTCTGAAGACAACCTCATCCCCCTCGGAAGACCCCAACCCCATAGCTCAGGATGACAACCAAATCATAGCCCCCAAGGAGACCCTCTGAATACCAGCCCATAGCCCTAGAAAGACCCCAAGGACCCCTAGGAGGACCCCCAGTGCACCGCCCCAGGGAGTAGACACCCTTTTAGGGTGCAGGCAGCCCCCCAGTGCCTTACCCACGGCCTGGGGGGCAAGGATCTGGGTGAAGCCGGCTGAGAAAGTGATGAGCACAGTAGGGTAGGTGACCCAGGCCATGTACTGCAGCAGCACGTTGGTGTCCAGGCCCCCATACATCCACTTCTGAGCTGTGGGAACAACCGGCCAGGTGGGTCACGGGTGGCACAGGACATGGCATGGCCCCAAGGCATGGCCACCCCCTGCCCTGCCCTGGCCCCAGGAGCCCACTGGTGCCCGCTTACCTTGGAGGCAGGTGGCAATGGCAAAGTCCATGGCCCAGCTGACCAGTGCCATGACCAGCCCCAGCAGGATGAGGAAGACCCAGTCCTCGCCCACCTTGGAGATGAGGAACCGCTGGCACTGCAAGGCGCAGACTGCAGACACAAAGGCAGGCTCAGGGCCGAGTGCCTCAGGGGTGGGCACACCAGGGTGGTGGGGCCAGGCTGGCAGCGACAGAAATGCTCACAACTGGCAGCACCAATCCAGCACCGCTGGTACTATCCGGTGCAGGAGCACCCCTGTGCCCAGCCATCACAGCCAGCTGGCTGTGCACAGCCACTCACAGCACTGCCAGGCACGCACCTCCCTCCAGCACGGCCCCCCTGGCACGGCCCCAGGCAGAGGGGCTGGGGGCCCCCAGTCCCTGCGGCGTGCCTGGCTATTTTAGGCCATTGTGTCCCCACTGCCCGGCGGGCAGGTGGCATTGTCCTCGGCGCCGGTGTCCCATGACAGCCAGAGAAAACTCTACCCGCCCCACCACTGTGGCGGGGTGGGCAACTGTGTCCAGACTGCGCTGCTGTGGGGCTGTGCCCACCTGTGTCCACCTGCTGTGTGTCTTATCCTGGTGACCCTTACCGCGACAAGGGGCACACCGGCCCTGGGTGTACTCCAGCAGCTCGGAGGGCCGGCGGGGCCGAGGGGTGTCCCCCTCCTGCAGCCGCAGCCGGGCTGCCTCATCCTTGGCAAAGGTGCCCAAGTCCTGAGTGTAACGTCCATACATCTGGGAGAGAAGAAGTAGAGAGGGGTGTTATGGGGGGCTGGCACCCCAGCTCCTGCACCCAAGTGGGGAAACTGAGTCAAGGGAGCAGTGGGCACACTGGCATGGCCTCCCAACACCGGAGGTGCCAGGCGAGGAAACAGGCAGCCATGGCACCCCCAGGCAAAGGGGCGGTGGTGCCTGTGGGAGTGCCTGCCTGCCAGGCAGGGTGTGGGAAGGAGCCAGGTGGATAAGGTGTGTGTGGATCGATGGCGTTTTCCCCATGTGCCCAAAGCAAGCAGCTGAAACGTTGGTACCAGTCCCCGGCCCTGCCCAGGTGCCCCAGGCACCAGGCTGGGCTGGCGAAGGGTGGGGAAGGGCCTCCAGTGATGGGAGCATGGCCAGCTTGGCCAGGAGACTCTCTGAGGGCTGATACTGGGGTTGTGCTGGCGCCCTGCAGGCACCAGGCTGGGCTGGTGAAGGGTGGGGAAGGGCCTCCAGTGATGGGAGCATGGCCAGCTTGGCCAGGAGACTCTCTGAGGGCTGATACTGGGGTTGTGCTGGCGCCCTGCAGGCACCACACCCCAACATTGCTAAGAGCAGGGCTGGGATACCCCCCTGGAGATAGCCTCAGCAGATCACATGTGACATGAGCTGGCTGGTCTCAGCTGGCAGCAGGGAGGCAGGAGGACAGTGGGAGAGAGGGTGTACGCCCAGTTCCAGAAAAGAGGGAGGCACAGCATCAGGCCCAGGGCAGTCCCTGGGTTGTGAGGAGGGAGATTAGGGAGAAAGGGGGTACAAGTGGCTCTGTTCCCACATAGGGGTCACCTTCCCTGCTCCTTGGGTGCATCCTGCCTGGCTGTGGCACGTGGCCTGGTCCTGGCAGGGGGGTGACCCTGGCAGTGCCCCCTGTGCAGGCCAGGAGCTCTTTGTGCCCGTCCTCCCCACTGAGCCAGGGGCATTTGTCCCGCACTGGCGGGCACTGCCAAGGACTCGGTTGCTTGGTTTCCGCCTCCACTCCCCCCGGCACGACCTGAATGCCAAGCGCCAGAGGTTGGCTCGGCACAAAGGGAGGCTTCAGGGCTGCAGAGGCCCTGCCAGGCTCCCACGTCGGGACAACGTGAGCCCCATGCTGATGGCGTGCCCACCCGCCGTGCTGTGCCAGGGCAGCGCGTGGCTGCCCAGCCAGGACGCAGCCGCCCTCCTTCCCGGCATGGCCCGTGCCGGCGCCCGGTGGAGGGGCAACACCACGGGTGGGCACTGTGCTTGGCACGTGGGCAGCCCAGCCCCAGCTGATGGTGGCAGTGCCCGCCCTGGATGCCTGGGTCCCATTCACGGCCTCTTGGCCTGCTGGCACGTGCCAGCTCCCTGTGGGGACAGCGCGAAGATGCACTTCTCACGGGACATCGCTCCTGCCCAGGTCGCTTGGGTAGGGAGCAGAAAGCAGCCAGAGCGGCGCCAGGCGGATTCTCTGCTGCCTAATACCCGGGTTGTGCTCAGCAATGGGAGGGAGGGTAGGGATGTCGGTGGGGAGAGGAGAGTACATTCATTTCCATTGCTGACCCTCTCCTGGCATGGATTTTCCCCCAAACTCCAGCTCAGCATGGGCTCAGTGGCTCCTTGCCCTGTGGAAAAGTGCTGGGGGGAAAGCACAGCCACCTCGAGGGGCCAAATCCAGCATTGGCTGCCAGAGGAAGACCCTGGCCGTGCATGGGGTCTTGCTTTCAAAGGCTCCCCTTGGGCGAAGCTTGTTTGCTCTGGAAGATGAAATGGGCCAGCACTCCAGGAGTGTTGTCCTCTTGCCAAGCCCCCGCCTCCCCCAGCCCCACTACTGACCCACAGCCAGCCCCAGACGAGACGGGAGCACCCCCAAGCTTAGTGCCCCCAAACTGGCTCCCACCTCCTAGGACTGTGCCAGGGGCTGCCACGCTGCCCCCCAGGTGTTGGGGCATGCGATGGGATGCCCAGTCCTGGGCGGTCTAGCTTGTTTGAGGGTGGTGGGATTTGCTCCCCGCTCTGCCTCACTTTGCAGCCAACCCCACTTGCAACAACAGGGATGAAAACAAAGGGGCTGTGCCACCCTGTTGCCACCTGTCACCCTCTGCCACCCTTCTGCCCCGTGCAGGCATGGGGCATGCCATGCCATGCCCCACAGGCAGGACATGGGACCCCCAGGGGTGCCTAGAGCTGAGCAGCCACAGCTGCTGTGCCCACAGCCCTGGCATGGCCAGGAAGGCCCGTGGTGGGCTCTCTCCTTCTTCCTCCTCCTCCTCCTCTGCTCGGGTTATTTTTCCACAAAGGCCTTTTGAAACACAAACAGCCCCGGGACTCCGGCCTCCGCCGCGAAGCAGCTGAACAATCACAGTGCTGGGCGGGCAGAGAGCGGGCAACGGGGGGGGCTGGCGGGGGGCACTCGGGGACACGGGCACGGGCCAAGGGTGCTATGTCAGTCCCAGGCTCCTGTGCTCTGGGCACTGGCTGTGCCACAGCCCCCTGGGCATTGCCAGCCTGCGGTGCCCACTATGCCTGGGTGATGCTGTGCCTGGGGCAGGGACTGGCATCTGGTGCTGCCATGTCCCCGTGCCACCCTGTCCCATAGCACTGAGCTTGCCTGGCAGCAGTGCCCACCTCCACATGGCTAATGCCAGCCAACCTTTTCCCTCAAATTTCCTGTAGGGGGGGATATTTAAAGGTGATGGGGGTGGGGGGCTCCTCAGGGCTGGCAGTGGGCAGGCAGAGGCCGGGGAGTGTGTCACGCTGCCCGTCTTAGCCGGGCTCTAATCGCCCTGAGCAGCTCGACAAGGAACAAGGGCAGTTTGTCAAGCTTAATCCCCCCACCCCAGGGGCCCTTTGCTTCCAGCCTGGCATGTGGGGGGCACGGGAGCTGACATGTACTCCATCACCCTTGGCATGCCAGGGGTTCCCGCAGACACCTGCCCTGTGTGGGAAGCCCAGGGAGGGATGCCATGGCGTGGGGAGACCTTTAGGGCTGGGGTCCCAAGGGCCATGGCCATAGCAGCCCAGGGCTGGTGAAATCCAGTGGGGATAAGGACGTGGGGTTGGGATGGGGCTCTTTGGGCATGGCTGTGCACAACTCTGCAGCCTGGCTGTGATGGCTTGGCTGTGGGCATGGGCAGCAAGAGCTGTCCCCAGGGCTGTCTGGCTCAGACCAGTCCATGCCAGGCTTCAGCTGGATCCTGACCCTCCTGGCAGGTGCTGGCAGAAGCTAGTTGTGGCACAGATGTACTGGGCAAGGCTGGGCACCCCTCCTGCCCAACACATGCCCAGGCAGCTCCCAAAATCCAGGTGTGAGGCTATGGGACAGGAACCCACATGCAGCCTCACCCATGTGCCCCAGGCAATTTCATGAGCCTCACTGAGCCCAGAGGCCATGGGGATGGGCACTACGGAGCACTCTGGGCACGGGTGCTACCCTGCCTGAAGAAAAGAAGGGCAAAGTCTGCTGGTGCTGTGCCTGACTGTCCTGATGCCAGCCCAGCGTGCCTGTGCCTCTCCCCTCACGCGCTGCCCGCAGGCTCCTCCACCCCGTGATGCCCAGCTGGGCTGGCCTCTCTGCTCACTCACCGTGACCAGGGCGCCGAGGGGGGCAGTCTGGGGCTGGCAGTGGGCAGAGGCACTCCCACAGCTCACCCCTGCACACCCCTGCTCCTGCCCCCGACTGCTCCTTAGCCCAGCCCTGCTGGGAAGGACCACAGGGCCAATAAGGTTGTGGAGATGCTGGCACAGCTGGGGCTCCCACGGTGGGCCAGTGTCCCACAGCCACCTGACAGCAGCGGGGAAGGGGCAGCTTGGGTTGGGCACTGAGAGGCACCATCAGACAAGGGATTTAGGTGCTTGGAAAGGCAATACAGAGGGTGCACAGCACAGCAGTGCCCTGACACTGCCCCGTGTTCCCATGCCAGGTGGGCAAGGCTCAGCAGGGCTGGCCCTGCTCACAGAAACTGGCTCAGGCTCTCAGCATACTTGGGCAGCTGTGGGCATGGGAACTCTGTGGCCACTCAGTCTCTGCTTCTCTGTCCACCTTCCTGTCGCTGCCTCTCTGAATGCTTTGCCGGGGCAAAGTACCATCTGCCTTGGGCACCATCCCAAGCAGAGGCCAGAGAAGAGCACCTTTGCCTGTAATGTCTGTGGGCAGTGGAGGGACTGGGGGCACAGCGGAGAAGGAGGGCAGCTCAGGACAGCAGGGCATCCTGGTGCCAGTGGGGAGGCCCCGGAGGAAAAGAAGTTGTAAACATGGGGCTAAGGTTGCAGGCAGAGGAGATACGTTATCTTGGGGGCAGAGGGCCGGGGACATGCAGTGCGGGGGGGTGAGGGGTGCCCGGGCGGTGCCTCTGGGAGCCCCCACAGGGTGGGCATCCTTCCCCAGTGGTGAGGGGGTTTGGCGGGGGGTGGTGAGGTGCGTGCAAAAGTCCTGCGCTGGGGGTCAGTGATCAGTTGGGCTCCTGCACCGCTGGGGGGACTGTGGGTGACACCCCAAACTGGAGACAGCACCCCAAACAGGGCACCGCGGAGCCCTGCCGCCCTG